CAAAAATGAGATAACGCTGTCTGACACGTGGACAGAAACGGAGCTTATTAAGTGTTTTTGTTATTATCCAGAAATGACATTAAAATGAGGTCACCTGGATGAGGAAAAGAATTTTCAAATCTGTGATTGTAATATCGATCAGCTTGGAAATCTTGTTGCTCTCTGATCTGCTTTCAGATATTTGGAAAAAGAATCTGATGATGATGAGATGGTATATCAGCCGGCACACGGAAGCCCTGGCGCAAAAGCGAGCAGTAGCGGTGAAGATGGCGAGGACGAGGAGGATGACCCGCTTGATGCCTTTATGGCTGGTGTTAATAAACAGGTTTTTTTTGGGATTGAGTTGTTTTCTCACGCATGTTTTTACTTGTTGCTATTTGCTGTAGTATTTTGAAGATGCCAGATCCTGTGCAAAAGAATTTTTCGTTCCAGGCAGTTCAGGACAAAGCAGAAAGTATTCGGAAAGACAAGGAGCGCAGTCTGAAAACCGACAAGGAAGAGGATGAGAAAAACAAAGGACTGGGCCGTGCTGATATCGATGAGGAGGACATGCAAGAATCGTATTTCAGGTCAGCTTTTTGGGATCTTTCGTAATCCCTTGTCAAATTGCTGCTGATGAATTTTGAATGATGACACAAGAAATGTTTAAAAAGGCGACGAACGGGAGATGTTCAGCTCGTTGGGTCGAAGGGCCCGATCGAGAAGAATATGCTTATCTGTTAGCAGTTGTTAGTTTTTGGAATTTACTTTAGATTTGTGGAAGAGCGCAAAGCAAATGCAGCAGAGGAAGAGGAAATTTATGAATACGATGAAGACGGTAATATCATTTGGACCTGGAAGAAAGTAATTGATCCGTTGGAAGCAGTCGATCACGCTGCAATGAATTATCCATCGTTCAACAAAAATTTTTATCACGAACATGAACAGATCAAGTAGGACTTCTCTTTTCCGCTGCTCATTCGTCTTCAGCATCCGGTGTTTCGTGTTGGTGAAATTCCCTTGATGAACTAAATTCTTGCTGACTTTGTTTCTCGTAGCGAACGAAGTGCTGGGCTGGTTTTTGATAAACGTTCCTTCCTTCCATTCCACATATGCTAACGGCAACAAGGTTGTGGAATTGTGGATGTATAGTGTTCTGTATTTGCTTGATCATTTAGGAGTTTGCGTTAATTTGTCGGAACTCGTTATGATCGACCAAAAATTTAGCTCATTTTTGCCGTGTTGCCCGGTGGTGGCACAATTTTGTCTAACTTATCTTGTGGGTTGCCAAAATTTCCAAATTCATATATCTGCATGTCCGGATTTTTTAAAATAACGTCTTTGTTACTTGAGAAGCGAAGAACAGAACAGGTGCATGTAAAACAAGTTAAAAAGGCGAATGATGACTTAAATCTAGAGAGATCGTCGCAGATTTGCGTTCTTTAATGAGCTGTTGACGGATTGGCAGGGATGGGGTGCGGCATAATACACAACGATTGGCTTGTTTTTTGTGACACCATATTGGGCGCTGCAAATGTGTGCCACTGTAACCCTATAATTACCCATTCCCCTCCTCCCATTAATTCCTAACACTTCGACTTACTTCTCCTGTCTTACTAACTTCTAACAATTCCACCAAATTCTAAATGTTTCTGTACTATCTACTTTCCTACTCA